ACTTTTGCTGAGGCAGGCTTTGAACTCACAATCCTCCTGTCTCAGCCTCCTAAATCACCGGGTTTACAGGCGTTCACCACTGCATGAAATAGCTTTTTAAAAGAGATCAAACTTAAAGGAAATAATAGATTACGAGGTTAAAAAAAAAAAAAAAACTCCTACTAATTTCAAAGAGGTAGACACAGTGCAAAAATTGACAAAGGACAAGAAGTAGTTCAGAGGGGAATATATGAAAAGCCAGAAAAAAGATACCCAGTCTTAGTAGTTATTAGGGAGATGCCAGTTATAATGGCATTTTTTTTTCCTATCAGTTTAGGAGAAACGAGTAAGATGAATACTGTCTGGTGTTGGCAAGAAAGTGGAGTAATGGACATTCATACAGATAGAACAAGTCGGCAAAGTGTCTTTGCGTGCATGCCGTTTGGCATTACAGGTCGAGTGTCCCTTATCTGAAATGCTTGGGGCAAGAAGTGTTTCAGGTGGTTGTTGTTGATTTTGGAATATCTGCATAGACCTTGTTGAGTATCTTTAATCTGAATATTTGAAATGCTCCAAAATCTCAACCTTCTGTTTTAAACTTTTTATATATATTTTTTAGTTGTAGATGGACACAACACCTTTATTTTTATTTATTTTTATGCAATGTTAAGGATTGGACCCCTGTGTCACGCACATGCTAGGCAAGTGCTCTGCCACTGAGCTGCAGCCCCAACCCCTGCATCCTTCTTGAGTTGCCAGATCAGTATTCAGAGGATTGCATTTTGTATTTCAGATTTTGGGATTAGGGATACTTTGTCAGACTTCAGTGTGAATACCTTTGAAGTATCATGGAAAATAGCCTAGTACTCATGGCTCTATAATGTATAAGTATAGTTTTATTCAGCAATATCATACAAACCCCTTCAAATCATCAAGAACTTGGTAGAGGTTGGGGAATAGCTCAGTGATAGAGTGCTTGCCTAGGCGATGTGAGGCCCTAGGTTTGATCCCCAGCTCCACCAGAACAAGAACCAGAAAGGCCTCTGGGTAGGAATTCATAAACTCAGAATTTTTAGGCTTTATTATATTACACATTACATTTTAATAGTTATAATACAGATAATCTGTATAAGCATTATTTCTGTTTTTCAAGCAAAGAGACAACATAGCTTTAAGTTTTGACTCTCCAGGACATTTTGCACTTACCTATTTTTGAGCTTAGAAGGTAGATTTTTTTTTTTTTAAAGGAGAACAATAGGTCCCTTTCCCTTCCTTTTGCTTTTTGTTGAAAATACTTTGAAATACTATTAAACAATTTATAACTTTTAGGTATGTTTAACATCTTTTTGTGTGTGTGTGTGTGTGTGTGTGTGTGTGTTGGTATTAAACTCGGGGCTGTGCACGTGCTAGGCAAGCGCTCTATCACTGAGCCATATCCCCAGTTTTGTCAAACATGTATCTGTTAGCAATGTCATTTGTGGTATTTTATTATAAAAAAATACTTGGCAAGGTGGCGTTTGCCTGTAACCCCAGCAGCTCGGGAGGCTGAGACAGGAGGATCGCAAGTTCAAATCCAGCCTTCACAATGGCAAAGCTCTAAGCAACTCAGTGAGACCCTGTCTCTAAATAAAATACAGAATAAGGCTGGGATGTGGCTCAGTGGTCAAGTGCCCCTGGGTTCAATCTCCAGTACAAAAACCAAAAACAAAACAACAACTTGGTAAAAAGTCGTGTTTTCAGTACTCCTTAATAGTTAAAAATTGGAAATAACCTAAATGCCCATCAAAAGAAAATGTTCCATATTCTGGCCAAATATACTGTGATATATTTTATAGCAGTTATAAGAGGACATAGATTTATATCAGCTGACATAAGAGCAAACTGAAAAGCAAATTATGGAACAGTTCTTAAATGACAGGTATTTGGCTGGGTATGGTAGCGCCCATCTGTAATCCCAGCAGCTTGGAAGGCTGAGGCAGGAGGATAACAAGTTCAAAGCCAGGCTCAGCAATTTAGCAAGGCATTTAGCAACTCAGTGAGAGTCTTTCTCTAAATAAAAGGACTGGGGATGTGCCTCGGTGGTTAAGCACACCTGAGTTTAATCCCTGGTACAAAATAAAATCAAAGATATTTGAGAAACAACTTAATTTTTTTGGGGGGGATGTGGTACTGGGGATTGAACCCAGGGACACTTTACCACCCAGCTATACACCCAGCATATTTAATGTTTATTTTGAGATAGGGTTTAACCTAGTTCCCCAGTCTGGCCTTGAACTTGCTTTTTGATTCTCCTGCTTCAGTCTTCTGAGTAGTTGGGATTACATGTGTGTGCTACTGTGTCCAGCTAGAAAAAACTTCCATGTACATATGTCTGTGCAAAAGCATAGGGAAAGATCTGGGAAGTTGACCACCAAACAGAGTGATTTTTTTTTTTTAATATTTATTTATTAATTCTTTTTAGTTTTCAGCGGACACAACATCTTTGTATGTGGTGCTGAGGATCGAACCCGGGCCACATGCATGCCAGGCCAGCGCGCTACCACTTGAGCCACATCTCCAGCCCCAAACAGAGTGATTTTTGCAAAGGAAAGCTGGTTGAGGGGCTGGGGATGTGGCTCAAGCGGTATCGTGCTCGCCTGGCATGCGTGCGGCCCGGGTTCGATCCTCAGCACTACATACCAACAAAGATGTTGTGTCCGCCGAGAACTAAAAAATAAATATTAAAAAAAAAATCTCTCTCTCTCTCTCTCTCTCTCTCTCTCTCTCTCTCTCTCTCTCCCCCCCCACTCTCTCTCTCTCTCTTTAAAAAATAAAAAAAGAAAGCTGGTTGAGGAGGAGAGAAGCTGGTGGGAGAACTTTGGTTTTATATTTTATTCTAGTGGTTCTGAAACTTTTGGCCTTAAGTCCCTTTGTGCTTAAAACTCAAGGATCCCAAGCTGGGCATGGTGCCTGTCATCCTAGTTACTCTGGAGGCTGAGGCAGAAGGATTGTGAGTTCAAGGCCAGCCTGGGCAACATAGGGAGACAACCCAAGAATACCCAAAGAGCATTTTTAAATTTTTTTAACAATAGTGAAGATTGAACTAAGGGATACTTTACCACTTAGTACCCCAGCCCTTCTTTATTTGAGACAGTCTCTCTCGGATGCTCAGTCTGGCCTTGAACTTGTGATGTTCCTATGTCAGCCTCCTTACAGGAATTATAGGTGTATGCCAGCACTCCCGGCTTTTTAATTTATTTTTTCTTAATTTATTTTGAGATGCTGATGTTTGAACCAATGTCCTTACACAAGCTAAATAAACACTCTACCACTGATCTACACCCTTACCCAGTAAAGTTCTAGAAAAGTGAAGTTGTTTTACATTTTTGTACATGTCTTTAACATTTGGCCTAGTAGATTTAGCCTAGTAGTTGGATACTCACAACTACTTCTCATTCAAATTGTGTGATATTGTTTTGGCCGAAGAATGTGAGAAAATCCAGCCTCACACAGATAGTTAGGAAAGGAATTCTTTAATATTTTTTTTTCTCAGATAATTCTGAATATATTTTCATCCTACACCAAAATAAAATAAGAGACAGGTTATTAAAAGCTATTTGGAATGTGAAATCTAAAGTAATAGCTGAAGACCTTTTTTTTTCCCCCCTGTACTGAGCTCGAACTCGGTAGTGCTCTTCCACTGAGCTACATCCCAGCCCTTCAAAAAAAAAAATAAAATTATTTTGAGACAGAGCCTTTGCTATGTTGCTTAGGGGCTCATTGTTGCTGAGGCTGGCCTTGAACTTGTGATCCTCCTGCCAAAGCTTCCCAAGTCTTTGGGATTACTGGTGTGTGCCACCATATCTGGCATGTCTTTTTTTGTACTTTTAAGCTTCATTGGTTCCTCTTGCACTTTGAGTGAATCTTTGAGTATTGAGGAACTTTAAGAATTTATGGTGGGGGATAAAAAGTTTTCCAGAATTCCAATTTTTTACTTAAAAGTTCAAATTTAGCCATTTGGCAGCAAATAATCAGACAAAATTATTTTATAAGCAACAGGCTCACTTTGTTCCTTTTTGAGAACATGTCTGCCAGCCACTCAAACTTACATAGCTAGTTTGCCTGCAGAGTGCCTTCAGGAGGAAAGTGACTCATTCATTTTGTACCTCAGATACCTGCACAGTGCCTTTCTCCAGACACCTTGATAGGTAGCAGAAATAACTTTATGCTTATTTCCCTTTTTTCCATGTAGATATTTTAAAACATGTGCACTTGAGAGGTCCCCCCCCTTCTTCCAACTGGGGATTGAGCCCAGGGGTACTCAACCACTGAGCTACATCCCCAGTCTCTTATTTTTCTGTTTTGAGGCAGGGTCTCCCTAAGTTTAGGGCCTTGCTCAGTTGCTGTGGCTGGCTTTAAACTTGAGATCCTCTTGCCTCAGCCTCCTGAGTTGTTGGAGGCTTGAAGTTTTAATGATTATAAAATTTTTTACTGTTTCAGTAAGGAGATTTTAAAACAAAACTTGGGTAATTTTTTTTTATTGCAAGTCCCAGTGAAGAATGTAAGTTGACTACTAGTACAGTTTAGAGCCACTGCCTTGATTCATGCTATTAAGGACCGGCATTTTATCCACCACTGTTTGTACCACCCACACAAATGTGGACACAGTGAGAAGGGAAAATTAGTATATTAGGAAGATAATTTTGACTTTCTTGGATCTCCTGAAAGTGTCTTAGGGACCAGGTTCGGTGGCGCATGTTTGTAATCCCAGCAACTCTGGAGAGTGAGGCAGGAGGATCACAAACAACTTCAAGACTAGCCTCAGCAACTTAGGGAGACCTGTCTCAAAAAACAGAAAAGACTGGGGATTTAGAGCCCCTGGGTTCAATTCCTGATACCCACTTCCTCACTCTGGCCAAAAAGAAAAAAACAAACTTAGGAACAAAAAAAAAAACCAAAAAAACAAACCCAAAACAGTTCATACACTTGTACATTGAGAATTGCTGCTCCACACTAATGTGTAGTTTGAAATTGTTTGAATCTTTTTTTTGTGTGTGTGTGAAAATGCATTTATATCATAACAGAAGACTGCAAGAGTGAGTATTTTATATAACACTATGGCATGCTAGCCTTGTCAGGGAATTTTACACAAATCAGTTTGTGAAAAAACAGGTGTGGGTAGAGGGAAACAAGAAGAAAAATTAAGAAACTTTAAACGCAGGGGAAAAACATACACACGCAGAAAATATTTAGAATAGTTACAATATAGAAAACATTCACATGAGGAAAATGAAGTGGTTTTGGACAATTGGGCATCCATAATCTGGCTTCAAGTTCTTCAAAACACTGTGATCCCTTCATGTGGACACCAGGCCATGCCTAAGGAAAACAAAAACAGTGTGGTACATTTTGCTATTCCTAAAACATTAAGGAAATCTAGTTCAGATTGCAGGGCACCATCAAAGTTTCTTTCGACAGTTTAGATGTTTTGAGGCTAGAAATTTGTGGCTCATTGTGTTTGTGTGAATGATGAAGAAGAGTCTAGACTTAAAGGTATTTCAGCCAGCTTTGCTTCCCCCGAGTAACTGTGAAATTTAGAGCCAGGCACGCTATCCCAGCAACTCCTGAGGCCACGACAGGAGGATTGCAAGTTCAAAGCCAGCCTCAGTAACAGGGGGGCGCTAAGCAACTCAGTGAGACCCTGTCTCTAATAAAATACAAAATGAGGCTGGGAATGTGGCTCAATGGTTGAGTGCCCCTGAGTTGAATCCGTGGTACCCCACCCCCCATATTTTTAGAAAATAACTAGTTTCTTTCCTATTGCTGGAGAGACAATTTTCTTATATGATGATTTTTTTTCCTTTGAAAATGACAACACAATAATGACCTTTCGTGCTATTTCACCCTTTTCATGTGTTTATATTTTGAGAGGTTGGTAGATTACTAGATTATTATTATATTTTTCCATCTTTTGCTGGACTTAGATCTTAGTGTTTTTTTTTTTTTTTTTTTTTTTGGAGGGGGGAGGTTACTACAAATCCAACCTCAGGGGCTCTTTACCACTGAGCTATATCCCTAGCCCCTTCCATTTTACTTATTTTTTAATCTTGAGACAGGGTCTTACTTGGTAACTTAGTGAGATCCTGTCTGCCTCATATCCCCACATGGAGGGGGAAAAAAAAAAAAAAAGGCTGGGGATGTAGCTTAGAGTGTTGCTTAGTTCAATCCCCAGTACCCAGGGTGGTGGGGGAACTGCAAAGAAATGTAAAAATAGGATAAAGAGGGATGGGGATACTTGGCAGGAAGTGGGGTTTGGTTGCTATTTCCTGTAGGATGCCTCTCCATGAAATTGCTGCATGAGGGGCTGGGGATGTGGCTCAAGTGGTATCGCGCTCGCCTGGCATGCGTGCGGCCCGGGTTCGATCCTCAGCACCACATACCAACAAAGATGTTGTGTCCGCCGAGAACTAAAAAATAAATATTAA